AACCAGGAATAAACCAGGTCTAAACCAGAAGTTTGGGATGGGCCCCAGAGGTGCGCCCACGTAAACCGTCGGGTGACTGCAAGTGAAAGGACCGATGCAGAACAGAGGCTAAGCGCAGCCTACGTACGATCGCACTTTGTGGATGCCCTGCTCTGCGAGCTCTCTCACTCTCAAGTCCAAAATTAGTCCTGGTTTAGTCCTGTTTTAGTCCTGGTTCAGTCCTGGTTCAGTCCTGGTTCAGTTCAAATTTAGTTCTGGTTCAGTCCTGGTTCAGTCCTGGTTCAGTCCTTGTTCAGTCCTAGTTCAGACCTGGTTTAGACCTGGTTTAGTGCTGGTTTAGTCTTGTTTTAGTCCTGGTTTAGTCCTGGTTTAGTCCTGGTTCAGTCCTGGTTCAGTTCAAGTTTAGTTCTGGTTCAGTCCTGGTTCAGTCCTTGTTCAGTCCTAGTTCAGACCTGGTTTAGACCTGGTTTAGTGCTGGTTTAGTCTTGTTTTAGTCCTGGTTTAGTCCTGGTTTAGTCCTCTTTTAGTCCTGGTTTAGTCCTCTTTTAGTCCAGGTTTAGTCCTGGTTCATAAAATGGTTATTAACATGTTAATAACATGATTTCACATAATTTTGAAAAAAAAAAAAAATAATAAAATAAAATATCAATTATTTTTACTGGGCTGGTGCCTTTATGTTTGTACTAAAACTTTTTTTTTTTTTTTATTCAGGTAAGTGGGCAGGATTCATCACACACTGGTCGGTAATTACACTGGAAGTCATCATCCGCGTGTTTCCAAATGTCTTCCGGTAAGCGTGAATAGAGCCTATAATGAGTCCATACATTTTACTTCATATAATTGATGTCTTTTATATGTATCAAATGTCAAAAGTAGTAAACATATATATATATATATATATTAAAAAAAACTCCCTTTCACCCATGTTGCAAAGTTTGAAAGTGATGGCAGCAAAGTTTCGTGACACTTCTGACATTTCACGGATACATGATAAGTTATGAATACAGCGCATTTTCGTTCGGTCATTTGTTTTTGCTACGGTCAATGCAGAAAATAATAATAAATTGAGAAATAACATTCATTTTTTATCAGCTTTTGACACTGATTATACGGCAGCATAAAAGACTAAAGGTTTACAGCGTGAAGGTCAGGCCGTGCACTTTTAATGAGCTTATTTGTGTGATTTGTTATTGGAATTTTGATTCAAATTTGTGCGTACATTATTTTATTATTTTACATTTTATTTTGTGTCAAACTCTCAACAGATTATGCTCCCTACAACTGTACAACAACTCACTCTTATGTAACAGATAATGCTCCCTACAACTGTACAACAACTCACTCTTATGTAACAGATAATACTCCCTACAACTGTACAACAACTCACTCTTATGTAACAGATAATGCTCCCTACAACTGTACAGCAACTCACCATTATGTAACAGATAATACTCCCTACAACTGTACAGCAACTCACCATTACGTAACAGATAATACTCCCTACAACTGTACAGCAACTCACCATTACGTAACAGATAATACTCCCTACATCTGTACAACAACTCCATATTATGTCACAGATAATACTCCCTACAATCGTACAGCAACTCCACGTTATGTAACAGATAATACTCCCTACAACTGTACAGCAACTCACCATTACGTAACAGATAATACTCCCTACAACTGTACAGCAACCTGTACAGCAACTCACCATTGCGTAACAGATAATACTCCCTACAACTGTACAACAACTCCACATTACGTAATAGATAATACTCCCTACAACTGTACAACAACTCCACATTACATAACAGATAATACTCCCTACAACTGTACAGCAACTCACCATTGCGTAACAGATAATACTCCCTACAACTGTACAACAACTCCACATTATGTAACAGATAATACTCCCTACAACTATACAACAACTCCACATTACGTAACAGATAATACTCCCTACAACTGTACAACAGCTCCACATTATGTAACAGATAATACTCCCTACAACTGTACAACAACTCCACATTACGTAACAGATAATACTCCCTACAACTGTACAGCAACTCCACATTATGTAACAGATAATACTCCCTACAACTGTACAGCAACTCACATTGCGTAACAGATAATACTCCCTACAACTGTACAACAACTCCACATTATGTAACAGATAATACTCCCTACAACTGTACAACAACTCCACATTATGTAACAGATAATACTCCCTACAACTATACAACAACTCCACATTACGTAACAGATAATACTCCCTACAACTGTACAACAGCTCCACATTATGTAACAGATAATACTCCCTACAACTGTACAACAACTCCACATTACGTAACAGATAATACTCCCTACAACTGTACAGCAACTCAACATTATGTAACAGATAATACTCCCTACAACTGTGCAAAAGTGCCTTGAAGACCGAGACAAAACCGAGTCCAAATGCACTCGAGTCCAAGATGAGACCAAGACTGGTTTCGAGTACTACGACACTACAGTTTTTCTTCACCCACTTCTTGTATGTAGCGGAGATATTTTTATATTTATAAGTTGTTGTTTTTTTTATTGTATTTTATTTTTTCTTGTACATTTACATTTATATAATTTATTTGACACCTGTCTCTTGATGTTTTTGCTACTTATTTGAGTGTATAATTACATCTATCTATACCACCATAACTACACCGAGCCTCTGGGCGACACCTGGATTAGATTCAAACCTGTAGCATTTATTTCATTACAGTTCTAAATATTACTCAAAGATACCTTGAAAAACGTGCATTACTGAGCGGGCTCGCCTCTCCGCAGATCTGTTAAAGAAGTAGAAAAATTGCTGACCTCTGAGCTCATTCGTCTCTGGTCACAGACATGATCCATCAGCTGTGTGCGCAAATGCAAACACATGAAAAGTGTTTGCACCAGAAGAAATGCGACTGCTGCTCTGAATGCTCCATCATCATCATCGTCATCATCAGAGCAAAAGGGAAACATTTCTCGCACTTTTAGCGTGTCGCCTCCTAAAACTCTCTTTATCTCACTTTACACGCAAACGCCAAACCGTAGTTTTCCAGAATCTCCACTCTAGCTGGAGTTTTTAAATTCATTTTCAGAGGCAAATTCCCTGTTTACGTGTAAAAGATGGGCACAAACGAAATGTCTCTGCTTTTAAAAATGCCCCTGTACATGTAAACAGGGCCTAAATCAAATGTACAAAGTAGCTGTTAACTTGAAAACTACCACTACATGACATCACACGGTGGACCAGAGCATTTTGAGCTTTGGAAATGCAGACAGCCTAATAGCGGAGGATTACGCAAACATGTGTGAATGAAACAAAACACAACACCCAGGTCTGTTTTTCAGCAACGTTCTAACATAACTTGAAGCTCACAAGAGTCAAATTTGTGTAATATAGGACCTTTAAGTCTTAGGTGAGTCATATCTTTACTTCTGCTTGAGTAATGTAACAGCACTTCCATTTACGTACGTTTTTTTTTGGCTCCTCTGCCCACCTCTGGCAACTACTCCCAATCACCCATCCGCCGAATCAATGCTTTCTCCCATAACAAACCTTTGCCCATTCATTCCCACTGAGCCCTGCCTCTGCCTGACGGCGCTAATCCTGCTGTGAACCCTGTATTTGGCAGAGCAGACAAGCGCCGCCCCCTTCCCCTCTCTCCTCCACGCTCTGATTGGCCGATTCCCCCCAGACTCCATCCCCCCTCCCTTCTGCCATTCCGCCTTAAATGCTCCCCACCTCTCTCTCTCTCTCTCCGCTGTGCACTTCCAACGATTGAATGAACCGTTCAGGGATGCAAGCTTCGAAACGGGTCTCGAACGTGATAGACCTGATTTGGACGTGCATTGTGGGAGTTTTTCGCATCGCAAGACCTGGCAACCTTGGCTGAGCGTTTGCAAGGAGACAGGGGGAGGCGGTAACTCAGCGCCACGTCGCTTCTTGAATCAACAGATTGCTCATTTGTGCTCGTTTCGGTTGAGGTATTTACAGATCCCGGCGTTAATTTCTCGGACTTGGCATCTTTCGTGACGTAAGTGCAAAGATCGGGCAGTTGTCAAGAGGAAATTGTTTGATTTTATGCGTTTTTTTTTTTGAAGTGTCACCTTCAAAACAAGCCATCTCGGGGGTGAAGACTGAGTCGGAATTGCTCCACACGGAAGGAGTTTTGGGAGCACAAGAAATTTTGAAGATTGGAAAAAAAACTATTGTGTTTGATTAAGAGCATGGACCATGATAAACTGTGAACAATGTTAGCATGTAGCTTCACCAATTGCTGTAGATAAAACGAGCAGCAGGAATGAATGGACAGAATGAAATTTATTGAGGGTGGTTTTGAAAATCTAATAAATTGTAGATTTTATAGTGAAAGTCAAACCTAAAAGAGATAAGTCGGGACCATTTTGGATTTGATCATTTTTTGATCAGCTGCAATTTTGACTGAAAAAAAAAAACTGTAAAAATCTTCTGGGATCAGATAAAGCTACAAAAACATCAGAAATTTTGATTAGATTTTTCCTTAAAATATTTAATTTCAAGTAAATATTGGTTATTAAGAATTTCGTTTTCAAACTAGGCCTATTTTTGATCACTATATTTGTTTGTATCACGTTTTTACTGATCTCCTCAAGATGTTTTTTCACGGCTTTTGGACTTGTCATTCCATTCCTTTATAACAACGATTTGATAAATTTTTTCGACAACTTCTGAACCAAATTACTACTTAAAAATCTTCGAAATTTATCCAAACGCAACATTTTGACCAACACATTTTCGACCAGCTACCTTCAGGCACCTATTTCCTTCCGGTGCCTTCTCGTCTCTTTATTTTCCGGTATTGTTGGGACTGTCCCTGTCGGGGGGCAGGTGACTCCAGTTCAAAACGCCGCGCGCCGTACTCCGAGTGAAGAATGGCCAGCGCTGGGCCAAACCGGTGGAAACGCCCACCCCGACCACGGACCTGTTCATGGAGAGGTCCCAGAGCAAACTCAGCCTCTCGGCGTCCTTCGAGGCCCTGGCCATATACTTCCCCTGCATGAACTCCTTCGATGAGGACGACGTCGGTGAGTGAAAACAGTTTTGTTATTCAAACTGAAATCAAGTATGTTGTTCCAGTGTGTTAGAATTTGGAGTATGACTAAAAATGGTGTCCAAAATGTAAATAAAATCAACAGAGTGCATTCTTACGGACACCTGTCGCAAATCAACGAGTGGACGACTGGCAAAATATATTCACTCTTAATCCAATCCAACTTTATTTGTATAGCACATTTATTCTAACCAGGTTGGCGCCACCTAGTGCTTCCACTCAATTTCATTTCTCTCCAGCGACTAGGTCAGGAAACGGAATAAACCATTCACTAAACCAGGAGTGTTCAGACTTTTTTCATCAAAGGCCACATATCTAAACACAGATGGAGACTGGTGAATAACTGAAATATGTGCATGTTTAACATATTAGAATGAGCCATCAGTCTTTATTCATGCTAAGATCCTTAAAACCACACACTAAATATTAAATATGAGCTTTATCAAGGCAGATTTTCAAAAAACTTGCAGTAGAAAGTTAATTTCTAATTGATGCGCAGTAATTTGGGCCAATTCACCTGGAAGCCTGAGGGCCAAGAAAAATTTGTGTCAGGGCCGTATTTGGACCACGGGCCATAATTTGGACATGCCTGCACTAAACGGTTCACAAAAACCCCGAAAGTGCAAGTTCGGGCACCAGCCAATCAGAGAAGAGCCATATATTCTGTGTGGGCAATGATTCCTGAGATCGAGGATTTAAAGCCGGAACAAAGAGAATGTTTGGTGAATTTTATCAGTGGGAAAGATGTTATTGTCCTTCTTCCAATGGGACTTGGGAAAAGCTTAATATACCACTTAGCCCCATTAGTGGCACATTACATACATCATGACTAAATAGCAGCAATTGGTTAAATAAAAAAGTAACCACCTACCGTCGAGCGAACGAATCCTAATGCTGTGAGGTCAGACGGTTTTTCTACAAAGTGAAACCGACTGATGAATCAGGATACATTTTACCAACCAAAGTCTCCAAATGCTGCACAGAGTAGGCACAATATACATTAACACATAAATAAAATAAAGCATAAATAAATAAGCAAGTCAACAAAAAACACAAAAAGTACTAAAATTGGCAAATAGAAAAATAGAAAATAAAAAATAACGCCCTTAAAGGATTTAAAGTCGGAACAAAGAGAATATTTAGTGAATTTTATCAAGGGGAAAGACGTTATTGCTCTTCTTCCTATGGGATTTGTCAACTTGTTTTTTTGTTGTTTTTTTTTTCATATGGAATCATTCAGCTGACATGCCAGGTTCAGAAAGTTACACAGAGCTGCTTTAAAAACATTTGTCCAGTTAACAGAACTACATTTTTCTTTTATTGTGCTTTCATATTTTGCTAACATGGATTTTAGGTTTCTCTTTTAGGCACCATCATGGCAACAACTCAAAAGATAGAATATATTGTTTTGAAATGATTGAGACTGGAATGACGACTTCTTAGATTTAAAACGTTCTATATTACACTAAAATTACTCATGTGAGCGTTTAGTCATGTTTTGATGTTGTTTGCTCAATAAAATCATACCAGGAGTTCACATTCACACATTTGAATAATCGTGCATGATTAGTCTCCGAGTTCAAACTGCTCAATTTCACCGTGTGTCATGAAGCAGTAGTTTTCAAGTTAACAGCTCCGTTTACGTTTAGTTCAGTAGAGATTGGCAATTCCAGGTCTGAAATCACCCAAATGATTCTAGTGAAGGTGCGCGGAGTTTAAGGCTACGTTTATATGATGACGGTTTAAAGAGAAGACAGAAAAGCGGTGTTGTGTCTTCACTTTTTATTCCGCGTTTAGACGAGAAATCTGCGCGCGTACAGTGATGCGAAAGTGTGTGGAATTTGACTGGGTAAGCATGTCAGATTTCTGTGTACTATATGTATGTGATGTAAATGCGTACGCAACATGAGCAGATCTGACCAGAGTTTTGGGTCTTGGGAAGCGCAGATGGAAACACTACGGCAGAGCGAATTCAACTTTTCCACTCTGGAGGGTGGCTTCAGATTTTTGCGTTTTTAAGCCCCAAAAACGCCGTCACCGTCTAAACCAGGGGTGTCAAACATATGACCCGGGGGCCGGATCCGGCCCTCCAAGACCTTTAATCTGGCCCTCGGCTGATTTTCTACTAAATTTATATTTTAATTATACTTTCTATTAAAATATTGGTCATTTTCTGTACTGCTGAGCAGAGCAGCGTCTCTGTACGTGGCCCCTCCCACCAGAGCAGCACAAATGAAGACTTGCCTCTTTCCAAACGCTCTTAAAGGACGATCGTTTTGACTGTTGACCGTGACACCCTCATCAGCAAAATGTCAAAAATGAGAAAAGTGGAGCCGAATGCAGGATTTTCCAAGAAAAATTGACTTATTCCTATTTGCAAACAAGTTAATGTTAAAATATCGTGCTTCAGGTTGTTCATAATATTATAATATTATGTAAAAGAAAGAGTTCATCAATTAAAAAAGATTTCTGTAATAGATTTGCGTTTCTCTTTACAAATATTTGAACTTATTGGTATTTTTGGGGTTTATATGCCATGAGTTTTCTGATCCTGGCCCTTTGGGATCAAAGTAGGTTGGATACGACCCCCGGACCAAAGTGAGTTTGACACCCCTGGTCTAAACGAAAGGAACTTCTGATAACATATTTTGTCGTTTTTACCCGCCAGTGTTTAAACAGGCAATTAAAACCACAGTGGCGCCCTTCCTCTTATCACCACATGACATCACAAGGTGGAACAGAGGGTTTTCCTTTTGAGAACTCAGCCTAAACATGCAGGGTTTGTGTGTTTAAACATGTGAGAATGAAACAAAACACAAGTCCAGATCTGTTTTTGATCAGGAAACAACATTAAAACATAGATCAGAAAATAGTGTAATACGGGACCTTTAGTTATTTGTCCGACCACGTTGTTTCTCTTGACTCTTGTACGACACGGTGAGTTCCTTCAGCCCTCACAGGCGCACATGTATTATGCTGGTGGTGTGGTGCAGTATTTTTGATGGATGAGATCTCAGGTCTTAGACACATGTGATCCTTCTCCTGTCGACTCCACAACACACTGTTTCCATCAAAGTCTCAAAAACAGACTCCTTTTGTAAATGTGCAGCTTTTACACCGGTTCGTGCTGCTGACGTTTCTCTGTTAGTATTCAAGAAAATTCACTTCTGTCTTTCTTCTTTTTATACATACAAACATGGATTTTCGAGATGGGACAAGATTAGATTAAATGGACCCAATACTGACTCAAAAGTGCAAAATTTTGTCCATGAATCTGAGCAAAATTGGTGTTTTTCTCAGTATAAATAGATTGTGAAAGCAGCTTTTGGAGTCAAAGATGGCTGGTGTGTGGTCTGTATCTGATTATGAAGCATTTTTATTGTCTGAGAACCAGGAAATAATGCTAGTCTACTGTCAGCGTGTTAATAGCTTTAGTATTGCCGATTTAGCTTTTTCACTTTTGGGTTAATTGTGTTACATCCATGTTATGTTTTTATGCCTGTTACAAAGTGAAATTAGACTACAGTTTTTTTTGGACTATAAGTCACACTTTTTCATGGTTTGGGTGTTTCCAACTTATACTCCAGTGTGATTCATATATTAAAATTTTCACACTGACAGCCACGAGAGGGCGCTCTAGTCTTGTGTGTCAGTATCTGCTGTTCCTGTTCCTCCTGTACCACTGTCACTTGGCTCTACTGCTCATGTCTCCTGCAGAAAGAGCCTCTGTCCTGTCTGTATCATGTCAGTCGATCGCACCATTACTTCTGCACCACTGAAAATTTAACATTTAGACAAACTTATAAAGACGACTGAGAAAACTGAACACAAATGCCCCCAAAAATGAAAATTATATTTTGCAGATTACAAGCTGAAAGTAGCGAAATCTGCAGCTGAAAACAGAAATCGAGCAGCAAAAAGAAAGTTTTGAGTGAACGAGAAACTTGTAACAACCGGGAGGATGCACCACGAAACTTTCCTGGAAGTCACTGGATGGATGGATAAAGCCTGGACTTCAGTGACACTGAAACCATTCTGTCGGGATTCAGAAAGTCCGGAATAATTCTAACTGGAACTGATGCTGAGTCTGAGGACAGCTACACAGAAGAGGAAGCGGCGCTCTGTTTACCTCTGGAGGTCGCGAAGTTGCTCAAAAATGACACCGAGGATGAAGAATTCAATGGATTTAGTGATTTGAAGTGAGATGGAGAGTTTGGTAAACTTGTTCTGTACAGCCTGTTGTTCTCTATTTTATAGTTAATACTATAACTTGCACTTCAGAATGAAATGTCTGCTCCTGGTCTCTGATTTCAAAAAATAAAGGCAAGGCAAGTTTATTTGTATAGCACAATTCATACACAAAGTAATTCAAAGTGCTTTACAGAATAAGAAATACATTAAAAACATAATAAAAACAAATCAAAACATAAATAATCATAAAGATTAAAATTAAAAAAGAGACATAAATTAGAGAGAAGAGTGCGGAATGAAAACCTTTCAGTCATATGTGCAGTCATACAGAAATGTTTTGAGCCTGGATTTAAACAGCGTCAAATAAATTTCCCCCAAAAAGTGTGACTTATTGTCCGTAAAATACAGTATACTTATCCATTGCTCTTAACAACCTTAATAAAGTATGAGGAAAGATGCAGATGGAGACTTGACGTTTGACTGCAACACTTCTGGCGATGTGTGACGATACTGACATTTCAAGCTGGATTTTGCTAAAAAAAGAATAGACTCGATTAAACAAAAAACAACAAAAAAAAAAAAAAACAATACAGATTTTGATAACCAAATGACGATACTGTAACTTTCAAGACAAAATGACTTGACTTGAACTGCGAATGAGAACTCTGGATTACTACTTTGGAGACTAATTTGGATTAATGAAGCATGAACAGAGAAAATACAACAGTATAACCAGGTTAAAAGCTGCAGTTATTAAATTCTTCTTAAGGTGTTTTTTTTTTC